TGGTGTGGCGTGTGAGCAGGTTGAATTGCGTGTGTCTCACGGCCAATGCGTGAGACTTGAGAACCCTGGTGTGAACGCTGCCATCCGAACTCTGTGTGCACCGAAAAAGTGTAAGTAGCGGACGCTTTAGTAAAGCGGACAAGAAAACTGATGTGCAGTTCGACTTAATATGAACGCAACACGGACCAAAGACATCTTAACGAACCAAAAACAGGACATGATGTCAAGATGCAACCAAGGACAGAATGCTTTAGCATAGGCCTACCTGTTTTTTCTCGTCATATTTGCGATGTTGCCCATCACAGTTCGGTACAGGATCAGAACCGTGTCAGATCTTCATTTGTGTGTGTGACTTGAGGAATTCCTGCCACTGTTTTGACTCCTTCACACATTTTATAAGCTCTTCACAAGTTCCATCATATACTAGGAATACAGCGAGCGGATTTAGCCCAGCACACAGCATTGTTTATGGTCGACAAGTTTTGTCACAAAATATTTGTCAAAAAAGCCATAAAAGTTTTGTCTTTAGGATCAGTGTTTAAAGTGACTTATGGTGTGTTCACACCGAACGCAAATTTAATTATTTGCGCGAGTAGATTACACACAAAGTCAATGCAAAGACGCGAATAGACGCATCATTCGCGCCGGACGTTGCGAATGACGCGAATTGGGCGACGCGTTTGCCGCGAATGTCTGCCGCGCAAGTAGAAAAACTGGAACTCGAGCGAATGTTCAAGCGTCTAAACTAGACGCGATAGACGCGTATTTGACGCTCTATTCGCGTTCGGTGTGAACACACCATTAGACTATGGATTATTATAAAATGACTAGGATTAGTGTAAACTCTAAGCGGACCAGGACTAAATGTATATTTTCTTTTTTGGTCCGGACCAAAAGAACCAAGAGAACCGAACTACAAGTGTGAAGACACCTTATACAAGCTTCTCAACCAATTATTTGCGTTTGATTCTAAGTGTGTATAGTGAAAACGTTAAGGATGTTGCATAGAAATGTTATTCAAGGACCATGTCTATTTGTGGATCATGTCCATGCATGGCAAATGGTGCTCAAACACCAACCCCAATGGCAAACAGGTGGCTCCTTAACACACTCTTTGTCCTCAGAAGCAACACAAAGACACATTTATTCTTACTCTCAAGATCTCAGAATCTGTTCTATTTACAGGATTGCTCAAAAGCTTCCTTAGCTAACATGTCGTAACTCAATTGCTCCGAGCCGGTCTCCTTCAATTCTTTTAGTTCCTCAATCTGATTAGATTGGACCAGCACAGAGTAAGTCTTTTTAAAGGCTGATCTCCAATCAGCTCTATTGGCAAGTTTATTGTTATATCTTGTCTCCCAACCACTGGCACTGCAACTTCATTATCTCTGGGAATTATGGGAGGGCTTGTGGGAGAACGGGGAATCTCACAAAGTGCCTCTTAGCTCTATGAATAGCTCTGACCAAGAACATAATGCTACAGTAAGGACTGAAAGGACATGAACGTCCTCTGACACTTGATATTAAGTTCACAATAATCCTTCTCAGTGACTTTGATTTTGCTTAGTAGGGCGAGTTCCTGGATCAACAATGCTTTTTTAAAGCAAATGAAATAATTCTTCCAAAAATTAAAACATCATTTACTCAGCCTCATGTTGTTTCAAAACCACATGCTTTTATTTCTCTGTGGAAAACTATTTTTTTAAAATCATTTTTCTACAGTCAATTCTGATGTTGAATATCAAAGACATCAAGGCCCTGTTTCACAGACAGCTTATTTGGATTTGCATTGAAAAAAGGTGTGAAGCAGTAAAGTTAACTGATTAGAAACCATTTGCATTACTTGAAATAAAATAAACAGTATACCTGAAATATAATACAAAAAAATTCAAACTTATTTTATTTCAGCTAGTCGCCATATCAGCATTTATCATTTTCATTTAGTTTAACTTGATGTTCCATCTCTATGACTGATAGATCTGTGAAATCCCTAGAAATACAGGAAAAAAGAAGCTAAGATTTTCGTGAAAGCCCAATCCGGAACACTAAGCCTAAACCAAACACTACAATCTGATTGGCTGACAGGTATGTTGTTCCAGGAACAACAAGGATGTCCAGGAACGTGTCCTATAAAAACAAAGGTCTTTTATTTTCAGCATGTAAAACAATAACTCATCTGCAACACATCTATGGTTGAATATGCACTTTCAGTTTACCACAAATGACGCATTTAATTTACAAGTGACAATGTGTTGTTGACATTGTCTAGACACACATACTGAATCACACGTGCAGTCCTGTCACGCAAGACTGTGAGAAAATGGATTCAGTCGTCTTGTGTTTAGTCGATTAACAGTAATGCAAATAAAAAACATCATACAGAGTCAAAGACGGCGTGTTTGATATCCCTGTGCTTCAGGATACCAGCGCCTAACATCAACTGCAACAACAGAAAGGGTTCGTTTCCATTGCAAAAGACTCGAGAAATCCTGTTCGTCCAGTTAAACGACTAGATAAGTGTCGTATTTCATCAGGACAGACTGTTACAATGACCTGAATTCCTCTTGGTATAAATCCCCCTGGGATTATCATTAAACTATGGGATTCACAGCACGTAAGTACTAGGCTAGTGGTGCTTGAAACCTCCTTATCATCAATCATCCAATCAACAATACAGTGGTTTTCTTTGCCTGTAGCTCAAATAGAGGAAATCCAGGCGTCTTGCCTCCATTTCAAGCGATGCAAGTGTTCTCGGTGCATGCAGTGAGTGAGAAGTCTTGTGCGACTGCCTTTGCAACCATGTGTGAGAACAGCAATTTGGTGAGATGGAGCAGATGCACACAAGCAACGAGGTCATACAGTTGTTGCTGTCTCCTCCAGCCCTATTGCTTAATCCTCTTGGACTCGTTTACAGGTTACAGTCAGTCGTGCAATAATTTACCCTGGAAAACATTGCCTGTTTTATACAGTCATTTACTGTTGATTAAACAAGCACTCGAGGCGTTAACGGTGCTTTTAACCTTTCACACCGGGGCTTTTTACACTGTGCTTCAGCTTGGGTTATTGTCCTGTTAAACCTGGGACTAAGCTTGAATAAAACAACGTTTCACACTTGTAATGTGCACCAGCGAATTGTGAGGCTAAAGAAATGTTATTTCGTTGTTTAGGAACAGACAAACAATCACTTAAAGTCACCATGAAATCAAAATCGATAATTCTTATTTTTATGCAATATTGCAGTGTTTATTATAGCCTAAATGATTTATCCGTGCACATCATTATTATTTTTTTAATTAATGTGCCTCGTAATCTTTCATCAAAAAAAAATTTCCCCTCCCTCTCGAGCGGCATCTTTTCTCTTCTCTGATGACGTGTTTACTGGCGTGAGGGCGGGGCAACCTGTCACTCACATGATCGACCAATAGCAAACCACAATCATGCAAACAATTCCACATGGGCAAAATCAAGCCCCGCCCTACATTTGTTCTTGTTCGAGAAGCCGTTTCTTTTAAAGGCTCACTGAAGTGCCTTGAAACGCACAGCATGATTTACTGTGTTGATGTAATTTCCACTGAAACAGGAAGACAGGGCGGGCCATATCGAGCAGCTCCTCCCCTTTTTTTAAATAGCCAATAGCGTTTGGTTTATATCACAGCTCCGCCAGAGCCGTTGAACTCGGTAAAGCCTCAGTTTCCTCCTAATCTCTAACCGTTTCTCCTCCTGATCTCCCACATATCGCTTTAACATACAGCATTCAGTGCAGAATATCAAACGGGTCCGATATGTTTTCTGGTCTGAGCGACTCGATCATATGATCCGCTCTGTGTGTCGTGTCTCTGGACCGGAGCTGCGGCGGTTCACGTGACACTGACGTGAAACCAGACTTCATTTGCCTCAATGGAAAGTACCCTATCCCCTATATAGTGCAGTGTGCACTATGTGCCATTCACCATGTAGAAAATAGTAAATGTGTGAACAAGTGACCGATTTCAGCCACAGGTTCAGAGTCTATTATAGTGTAGGGGGCGGAGCTTCAGATTCTAGAGAGCATTTGATTGGATAGAAAATCTGATGAGAAGCTGAAGTGCAGAGTGATGTCATCAAAATCATTGAAAAACTGTACGTTTTCAATGCTTATATCTTCTAAATGTGAATTTTGTCATTGTTTTGGAGCACAGCATATAGAGTAAAGCTATCATATACTAAAAGCCAAAAAACTTCCATTTTGATTTCATGGGGACTGAAAGTCACAACACAAGAAAAGACTATCACAACTTCCGTTTCATGCCTACTTTAACAGTGCTTACCTCATTAAATATTCACACGCCCTGCTGTATCTGTTACAGACACTTTCACACACGCTGTGTTTAGTTTCACCATCTGAGAGAAAATTTCAAATGAATTACGTACCAATAACTCAGTTTAAAACATGAAAGAAGATAATGCAGGAATACTTTTACACACACTGTGTTTACAAAATGCACTCTTAAAAAAGTTTCCAAAAGGGTGTTTTTGGTTCCCCGCAAAGAATCTTTCAACAACAGCATTTTTTTTCTTATAGTGTGAAGAACATTTTAATAATCTGAAGAACTTTTTTTACAATATAAAGAAGCTTTTGTGCAATGGAAAGATTCCATGTGTGTTAAAGGTTCTCATTAGAACCATTGATACCAAAAAAAAAAAAAAGGAACCTTTATCTTTAAGAGTGCGAAAAGCCCATATTATTTTATATCAAACTCATCACTAAGTTTGGAAATATTTAGGTTTAACTAAAAATTAAATGGAAAAGATCAGAAAACAAACAGTCGTTGAGATTAAACAGAGAATTCGTATTAAGGAAGAGAGGTGGGGAAAATAGGTGAAAACACATTAAATAGAGTGGAATGGCGCGCGCCAAGAAGCTTCACCACTAGCGCTCGCGCGCGCTGCTGCAGTTGCCAGGGGATCTCGAAGCCGAAGGGGAGGGGTTATGATTGGCTGAAGTGGGTTTGTTGCCTTGGCAACGAGAAAGGGGTTTGGTAGCGTTGCTGTGCGGCGTGATCTGTGCGCAGCGCGGATGGAGGAAACAGTTTGAGGCTGAAACACTCCGACTACTGACGCGCTTCAGCGGAAAACGGGTCCGCGCGCTTGCATGTGAGTAACCAAATCCAGTTCGGCGCTTTCTGTGGTATCGATGGAGTTTATATGTGTGTGACTAGCGCAGAAAGTTAACATTCTACAGACAAGTTGACGTGAAAAAGCATGGGCGGATATCAGGCTGAGCTTCGGTTCCTGTATTGTTTCTCAAGTGCTCTTGTTTGTTGTCGTTCACATGTCGAATTTCACGGCATTCTTAAACGGAATCATTTAAACGCGCGAGCATTCCTTCGCTTCTGCCATGTGCTCGAATCCAGCAAACAACTTCTTTTGTGATCGAGGACACTTGCTCAAGTGTTCTCACGCACTTCTGAGTGGAATACCGATATGTTAAATTATTTTGAGCGTCAGTCTTTGTCTTTGCTTCTGGAAATCGAATTCGCGCGAAACAAATCAATTTAAAAAAAAAATGTTTTAACGTTCCATTCGTTTGTGACGAGATTCTATTGTCTTTTCATATTTGTATATGTGAGTAGTTGATTTAATAACCTGAATATGAACTTTTTTTAAACATGATTTTTTTGTATTAATCAGTCATACTAAAAGACCATAATATGTGATCTATTTGGTTCTAAAATTATTCTAGTTCACATCATAATGTTACATTTATATTTATTTGAATTAATAAGGGAAAGTGTATGTTTTAGATGATCGCCATTTATTTTATTTTAACTAGTTTAATCAACTTATTGCAGTTCACTTAAGTAGTGCTTTGGTGAGATTTTTTTTAACCCCATGTTGTTGTTTTTAAACCCGCAATTAATAGTTAAAAAAAATGCATAATGCTTACGGAAAATGTTTAAAAATAGTTTTGGATGGAGGATATCACAGTACTTAATGTCAACTACCCACATTTCTGACTGAACTATTAATGCTTGATATTTGCCATCATGTAAATATTTTTCATTGGAATAAAGTTTAATTTATGTGGTTTTCATTGGTTTACTTAAAGATGTTAGTAACACAACAGCTACTTCTAGGGTGCTTTATTAGTGATGGATGGATTAATTATTATTTAGCTATTTTTTGAGACTATCACCATTGGGTCATAATTGTGATCGAATAACAGTGGTTTTGCGACGTGTCTTGTTGATGAATTGTGCACATTTTCTATTGTCAAATATCGTTTTGTGAATTGGATGAGTAAATAAGTGTTTAGTTGAATCAGCAGTGGCCTTCCTCCTTTCTAGATATTGCCACTGGCATTTATTATAAAAAATCTAGTGTAAATGAAACTATAATGTGTTACAAACATTGTACTGAGTCACTGTCATGGGTTATGTGAGTCATAACACCTACACTTAGTGTCAGGGATGTTTTTGACAGGAAACATTTGAGTTAACTTTACTCGGTAAATAACGTAGGCCTAGTTCCTCTCAGGTCTCGGTAGGTATAAACATCGAGCCATTCTTGCAACGCTTTGAAAAGAAGCCAGTCCGTTGCCTGCTGCGGGGTCCACATGAGCTCCATTCACTGGAAGCTTGACCTCATTGACATGATGCAATCTGTTCACAGGATAATCGCTTTCAGATCAAGTCTGCTCATTGATTGAATATCCTTTGCTACTTTTCCCCAAGGCTCAAGTCACAACAACTTATTATGCCAATGATCACATCTCCAATTCATAGCCCGTTTTTCTCACATCATTCTAAAGTGATTTTGAATCCCTTAAATGCTGAAGCTTAGGTCTTGGCATGGCATTACTTCACGAGAAAGTTAACAGCTGTGGGAATTCTCTTCTAATCTTATCAAGATGTTTTTATGACGCTGTGGCCGCATGTATTGTGTAGAGGTTAATGTTCGACACCAGTAATTGCAAAAAGATTGTCAGCTGGAAAAGTAAGAAACCCCAAAATATTGAAATTTACCACACATTAAAGTCCTTTAAACTGAACAATTTTGTGTAGAGGGGATTGGTTGTGTATTGGTTTCTCATTGAACGGTATTATTATAATGCTCAGCCTTAATTAATAAGTGGTACCTCATTGACGTCAAATAAATTAATTGAATTAAATGTAATTGTGAGGGTTGTGGGTTGGTCAGTTCTCCAATTTCAACAGATGTTGTTTGTTAACCGCAAGACGTAAGATAAACAGCACACAAAGACGACAATATAAAATAAACAAATTCTCAGCCCGTTGTTTAACTGCCAGCTGAATAGACTCCCAGTGGTTTGTAAATTAGCAGTGAGTCTTTGGTTTACTTTTGAAAGTTAAAATGGTTAAAAGGTTAAAAGTTAAAAGGTTTTAGTCTTCTAAAGTTTAAGTTCCACAAAGAACTTTTTAATTGTGTGGTTCTTTAGGAAACGAGTATAGTGCTTTAAAGCACCCAGAAACCAATGCACTGATCTGAAGAGCCTCTAATGAAGCATCAAGAAGTTGTTTGCTCTCCAAAGAGCTGTGAAGCTCAAATCAAAGAACCGTACGAAAAAGTATGGAGAAAGTGCACAAACTTCTTTATTTTGAAAGTGTTATGGTCAGATTAGTCTTGAGGTCGGTCAACATGAAATCAAAATGGACACTTTTTTACTTTCTTAAAACACATTTTTGGTCTTATTGAAAAAGATTCAAGTGCCCATCATAACGCAATACATAACAAAATTGTTATATTTTAATCATAAAATGTTATAAAGCCACTGAAACGGCTCTTCTTTTCCGCTGACATCATCAAGCCGTCATATTTTTGCTCCTCCCCCCCCTCCTCCAACCACCTGTCAGAGATTAAACACCATCCAATCAATTCTTTATGCATAAATTTAAGATGCATAATTTTTTCTTCATTCAATAACACGTTTCACTCAAAACATGTCATATTATGGAAATACGTTTTGTTATAGTTTCGTGTTCATGAAAGGTGAATGTTTGTATCGAATGAAAGTGCGATAGTGTTCATTTCATTCAATACATTCTTCTATAACAATAGTTTTGATTGTAAATACCTCTGCAGGAATTTAGAGATAAGATGACGGGTCGATCTATGAAATCTGGAATTTTTTTCCACATCAAGTTACAGTCCCAGTGTGAGAGCCTCTTACTCAAGCGAATGTTGAATGAAACCCCTCACTGGTGTGTTTTAATGGACCACTCAAGTTAGTTCTGCTTTCATTTCTTTGTCGCCTATCACTGAGCGCACAACACTTTTGAGATGCATTGGAAGCATTCAGGAATGCCTGTAGAGAACGGAAGTGTTCACTATGAGGATGTGAATTGGCTGAATGGATATTTTTTTCCGGATGGGTGTTGCAGACATTATGGGATGTCCTGTCTTAGAAGTGGAACTAAACACACAAGGGAAACTCTGGGTCTGTCATGTTTCACCACAAACAAAATATGTCATGCATGTTGAGAACTAACTCTGAAACAATGGCGAATATGCCAGATGATGATTGAAAACCAGAATACGTGGTTAAATGTTTAGTCAGTGACGAAGAAAAGCTTTTGTGTGGCTCACTTACTTGACAGCTTTAGAAGTGATGGACATTTAATTCTTCATGTGCGTTTATTGAGCTTATTCAATTTTCCTAGTTTAAATTAGATGTCGTTGACCTTGAGACTTGCGCGGGCGCACGTGTCCTGACTAGGATTGGGAATCCAGTTCTCAAAGTCAACTGGAATTTAAAGGGATAGTTCACTTTGAAATGTATTTTTGGTATGTTTTAGCTTACCTCAAGAGCATCCAAGATGTAGGTGTCTTTGTTTCCGCAGTAGTTTCAATTTTGATATTTTTAGGTCAAACCGTTCTTGTCTGTCAGTCATATAATGCAGGTCTATGGTTACCACCTCAAAGAGCATGCACAGAGAAGTCCAAATTAAACATGATTTAATGACTCGTAAATGTAAGTACACATTGATGGCCTAAGACACGAAACGAGCGGCTTGTGTGAGAAAACGAACAGTATTTATATCGTTTTTACCTCTTGTAAACACAGCCACGTCCAAGTGATCTGAGGGCGCCGGCGCTTCGGTCTGCGCAAGCGCCGGAAGTGATCTCTCGGGCGGTTGCGAAAAAAATTCAACGTTGTCTGTTGATATATCGAAATCGTCTTCCATTGCGATTTCCTGTATATCTAAATATGTTTAGATCTTCACAGTGAAAGGTAACACTTCCGAAATCTCTGTGTAAACAATGAGTGACGTACACGCGTGAGAGATCACTTCCGGCGCTTGCGCAGACCGAAGCGCCGGCGCCCTCAGATCACTTGGACCTTTAAAACTGAGCATTTCTAAGATTTACTTTATCAGAAGCATTAAAAGAATTCTTACAGAAATCACAATCAGAGTCGTTAAGTAAATTGCGTGTGTAATTCTCATCACTAGTCACGCCTCATCCACCCAGTTTCTGGATTCAGTCACCGGCTGTGTTGACGCTCGTGTGTGTTAATAGTATCTGGCCTTTGTTTGCAGGTGACTGTGTAACGCCTGCAGCTGCTCGTCACTTATCAGCTAGACGTCTCCTCCTCCTCATCCTCCGCCTCCCTATTATCTGTTTTCTTCTTTCCACCCGACCAGGAGGAGGGAAATACCCCAAGATCTCCAAAGGCCGCAGTTGTCTTGGTTACATGTGGCATTAATCCAATAGGTGGATGCTCCAAAACTGGGTTGCAAATGTAAAAATAGTGCTTTCCTCTTGAGCTGAAGTACTTCCTCCAACCTTCCTTGAGCTCCACCAGAAAGGCAGGTTCTTACTTAGAAGTCAAGAAATATTAATTATGATGTGTTTTTATTCAGAATGCATTGGACACTTTGGGCAGTTCCATATTTCTTTCATACGGCTGTCATTGAATTTCATATACAAATATTTATTCAGATTAATTGCATATCAATATTAGCTAAGAAAAGTGCCCAAATGAAGATCATTTTGTGATTAAATTGGTGGCGTTTGAGTAAATCATTGAATTGACAAAAAGTCTGATTGTCCGTAATCCACAGCAATCCATTTTACCGTTGAGTTTTGTTAAAAGTCATTCACACCAAATGCGTTTTTGCATTCTGGCGGTA